GTTGTCAAGTACCGAAAACGCTACACCGTGTGCTACAGTGCACGCATGTGCCCATAATGCAATGAGTGCATGAGCCCCCCGCATGTGCCCTGCCCCCATGTATGCACACCCCACCCTCGCACTCCCCCCGGTCCTGTGTGCGCAACCCCCTGCATGCATCCCAACCTCTGCACTTGTACGCGTGCCGCCCATGTCATCCCGCCCTGTGCATTCATGTGCAACCCCCACATGTGTGTCCCATCCCCCACACATGCATGTGCATCTCCCACATGTGCCCCCTACGCATGTGCGGCAGAGACCTGAAAACCAGCAAGTTGGCGGGAGGCATGCGTTCATGCATGGTGGCATTAGCTGGGGAGACAGCTTGCATGCCTGCAGAGAGGGCTCTGCGTGTCACCTGTGGCATGCGTGCCATAGGTTTGCCATCACAGCCCTAGTCTAACTTGGCCTTACTCTGAAGGAAGTATGGTACTTTCATTTTTATATATATCATTATTTTATTAAAATTTGCAGTTATAAAGATAAAAGACTAATACAAATATTCCTCTACTTATAACTATTTTTAATGACCATTCACAGTTAGAGAAGTACTGAAAAAAGTGACTGATGACTGGTACTTGCACTTATAACTGTTGTAGTATCCCTGTGTTCATATGATCAAAATCCAGATACTTGGAAACCAGAATGCATTTATGATGGTGGCAGTATTCTGGGGTCACTAATTGCCATTTAGACCTTCCCAACATGCAAAGCCATTAGGGAAAACTGGATTTGCTTAATGACTCTGTGATTCACTTAAGAACCGTGATGATTTGTTTAATAATTGTGACAAAAATATTCATCAAATTGGGCACAACCCACTTATTGGTCACAGTGGTTAGCAACAGAAGTTCTGGTCTGATGATTTCCCTCTTGAAAAGCTTTGTACTTCCCTCAAATACAAATAATTTCTTATTTATCACCTTATCTAAGAATACAAAGAAAACATCTCTTCCTTTCCTCTCATATCTTATCTATAAACAACTTTTTAAAGCCCTGTCATTCTGTCCTAGTCATCAAATGTTTATGAAGTTATCAGAAAATATATATATACATATATTTTAACAACCAAATAAACCAACTTTATATTCTCTGCTTTATGTCGATATAGAGCTTGATGGTACTTTCAGCCATGAGTTGACTGTGTAAAACTTGATTCCTGAGGAGCAGCTGTCTGCAGCTATGGACAATCTCATGATTTTTTTTTTCTAGAGAGATTGAAAGTGGACAGAATTCAACTTCTGGTTATCAATCTCTGCTGCAACATTGTCCCACTCCATAATCTCACATGAAGCTTGTAGAAGAAAGAGGGACTATTCTCAGGCTCAGGTCCAGAAGAAACTGGCTGTGAGAATGCAGGTCCTTACCCACATGAAATGGATGCTGCTACCAGCATGTAAACTATACTTAATGCAATGAGAGTGAAAGAATCACGAAAAGACCAACTGAAATGGAATATGTGGATGGCTTTGGGGAATGAGGAAAAGAGAAGCTGCTGCATAGACAATAAGGCAAGAGAAGTCAGTGATTTAAGGCAGAGGTGAAATTCAGCAGATTCTGACAGGTTCTGGTTGCGGAAATTTGTAGTAGTTGGGAGAACTAGCAAATACCACCTCTAGCTGATCCCAGATGGGGTGGGAATGGAAATTTTGCAGTATCCTCCCCCTGTCATGCCCACCAAGCCATGCCCACCAAGCCACACCCACAGAACAGGTAGTAAAAAAATTCGAATTTCACCACTGGCTTAAGGGTCAGAGAAAGATGTTTTGAAGGGATCTGCCTTAATATGGATCAAGTAGTTAAAAGTGGCAGAAGGAAGTCTGTACTTTCAGACTTGCAAGATGATGTTACTGTAGCCTAACGATAAAGTAGAATTAATTTACTGTATCTAGTCCTGTTTCCTATCCGGTTTTCCTGTGAGGGTTGACGTCAGTACAAAGATATGAAATGATGAAGCTGCTGAGATGCCCCCTAACAGATCTGGTCTGTTAACACAGGAGAAAGTGGGTCAGTCATAATCTCTGCCAAAGAAAGAATGGACAAAAAGGATGGATACGCCCATTTTAGAACCATTATGTTTGTAACACTCTTCTGACTTACTCAGGATGAGTGAGGAACTGCTCTAATATCAATCTGAATCCAAGGAAGTGTCTTTTACCAGGGCTTGCCATAACTAATTTTAGCCAGGTATACAAATGGAGGTGCAGTGCCGTAACTCAAACATGAATGTGCTACATTCACTATAATTTCTGCAGTGTCCTTTGGAAGCTTCCCTAATGTGGTTTCTCTTAATTGTGAAGGATGTCCACTGATCCAGTCAGGAAATGTTCTCCTAAAAGAAGTCTATATATGTCCCTGCAAGATTCTCACTGAGCAAGCTATGTATGAGTATTCTTGTATTGTTTTATTTGTGATGTTCTACAAAACAGTACCAATGAGCACCATGAAAAAAACTGGGAATAACGGAGTGAGAAGGTTGTGATATTGAATTACTGACTCTAAACCTACAATCAATTCAGCCATTATTGGTTGCATATTTGTCTTAGATTTTCTACCTTTCTGAAATATTGAAAGGATTATTCATTACTATTAATGTTTGTAGACATTTAATCGCAGTAACATGGCTTTAATAATATTCAGAACATTTCTTTTATATCTGTCAAACATTTTACATGTATTCTGAATGACTTAATTAAGATAAGGCAACAAAAGAAGCTACTTCCAGTTCTTGGACTCTTTTTTTAAAAAAAAACACAGGTTTACTGCCAGTTGATTTAATTTCCTGTGTGTATTTTGTATAATATTTTTTCTGTCTACTGAATTTTTCAGTAACAAAAATTGGAGAGAAAGAAAAGACAGAATCTGAATTTAGAGGAGTTAAATAGGCCGTACAAAATAAAAAGCTGAATAGGCTGCATTTTTGTGCAAATGTTATGGATGAATAGTTTAGTTTTATTTTGTTTACTTGTTTTCTTCTCACTTTCAATGAATATATTTAAACTTATTAGTTTACAGGTTCTGGAGAAGTACAATAAATTAAAGCAATGTATTTTAATTGTTTTTATTCTTATTGTAAAAGCTGCAAAATTCAATAGCAAGGGAAGCAATGTAGAAATACTGTACATTCAATAATAAATGTGATTTTGTTAAATGTAGCCAAACTATTAGGAATTTGGTTTTAGAAGGGTTCACTAACTGGGAATTAATGGAAAGAAAGCAAGATACATATTGTCTGCTGTCAAATACCACCCCTAAACTTCTGAACAAGACCTAAATGCTAAACAAGACTTTTCTCAATTAAAAACAGGAAATATATTTCAGTGATTATTTTTAGACAAACCATTAAACTATAAAACTGAATCATTTACAATAACTCATCCTGATGGTTATTTTCTTATTCGTGTTTGCTTGCTTATAATAAAACTGATATATTTTATTACATTTTAAAATTTAATAATCAAAGTCTGGTGAAGCAAGAAAAACACCTAAGGCCATATGCTTTGAATTATTGGGAATATGACTGAAAAAAATGATTATCGTGTCATTCACAATATGCATTTTGTTATAAATCTTATAAAATGAAGTTTATAGAATCTAATTCATGGTTATAATTGTAAATGTATAAAATAAACCAAAAATTGAAACCTACTTATCCTTTTCATTTTTTATTAATTTCAGAACAGCTAGAATTTTTAAGAAAAATACATTTTAAGTATGATGTATTATTAAATATATGTGATAATAATTTCTCCTAAAATGAATCTGTTAAATCAGTTGTATGACATATTCATATATTTTAATACATTTATTCCATACAAAGAGGAAGCATTTTGCTTAATGCTGAGTGCATAAATGATCCGGCCATACCACTCCAATAAAAGAACAGAGATCTAGGCTTTCCTAGCAGATATATTTATTTATGAAAGTAAACCCTTTTTGAATTGCAAAGCTATCTATAACTCAAGTTTGTTTTCCTCAATCCTGCCAAAAATGCAAATAGTAAACATATTCAGATCAGGAGTTCAAAAACTCCTGACTGAAGGAAAATAATCATTGGATCGTAAAGTTACATACAGGATAAACTAGTCTGGGAATTGTTCATTCTATCACACCAACTTTCAAAATTCTAAAAACAGCTGCAGAGTTGGTGCCTTACCTGATCGCTGAGGACACTAGGATCTCGTTTCTGAGGAACCGTGCTGCTGTCATTCCTAAGGAAGAAAAGAACAAGGCTGGATTTGTTGTGCAGAGGTAATCTGCACCTTTCTTACTCATGCAGAACTTAGGAAAGCTGCACCTCCACTCAATTTGAGGCCTCCTGACTGAATCACTAGACAAAAAAAATGGAATTTAAGGGGTGTCCCTTAATTCTTGATGCTGCAGAAAATAAAGCACTACCTTTGAGAGGTTTGAGTCCGTCAGCAATAACAAATTCCTTTGCTTGTTTTAGTGTCTTTTTAGTAATTCTGTTTTTTCTTTATAATACCTAAGGAACTGTAACTTACTTTTAAAGGAAGTAAGATTATCCTTCTCTTCTGAAGTTGATGCTGAATATTTTAAAACATTTTAAATTTTATTGGTAGAAATGCTGTGTTTATACCTTTGTGAAAACTTTTCTGGCAGTTTGAGGACTCCGTATTCCAACTACCAAATCATTTCTTGGAAATAAAAGAAATCCTTCTACCCAAATTACTCCTGCATTAAAATGCTTTTATTTAACTATATTTATGTTCATTTTCTTACATTATATATTTTCCAACGCATTCCATATTTTTCAATATTTAGTGCACCAAAACTTTTTTCAAGCTCAATGGCTCATCTATGAAAATCTACAAGATGCTAAAATATTATGAAATAGTTATTTTAAATTCCCTTTCTTAGCCTGCATATATACATACATACATACATACATACATACATACATATATACATATATACACATACATATACATATATACATACACACATACATACATATATATATATATACACATATACATATACATATACATACACACACTTAAAATATATTATAAGCCAATGATTATTGGATATCTAGAAACCTGTGACTCTTAAGACTAGTTTTTATTTCATAGATCAGAACACATTTCTTTAGAAACATTCAATCTGTGACTAGTTTATGCAATTTTAAGTCACTATTTATGTGAATGTAGTTTTCTATATAAGCCTCCTTGACTGATTCACACAACACAAATCAGATTAACTAGGCTACTTCATTGCTTAGACATGAAGAATTCAATGGAATCTTTCCCCCAAACATTGCAGGAAAAAGTGTACTGTAATCTGTATTGAATCATATTCACCCTTGGACTTCAAAGCTTGGAGAAAATGCTTTATGGATTTTCTGAAGTGGGTCCATAGCTTCCTTTGTATAGATTTTGACTGTTGCCCCTCTTTTATCTTAAATACATCTCTGAAAATTTCAGCACAACACAAAATGATGTTCCGTGACTGGTATTCTCAGGATGTTTGGGACCTCAACTTTCATAATTCCTAGTATAGGCAGAAAATTATTAGAGTCATGGTCTAACACCTGTAGAAAGTGTTAATAGAGTTGGGACAAGACTTTATAAACTTTCCAAATCAGAACCACATTTCTGAAACAACCACAGCGCATACATGATGGACCAGGCCTGCCCTGAGCATTCAAAGGTCAAGGAGAATCTTATCGGGTATCACTTTACTCATCACAAGAACTGCAAGGATGCCAGAGACTCTTCCCTCCACGGAACTGCCCTCTTGCAATGCAACTCTTAAAGGTAGCAAAGAAGGATGTCTTCTGGTCCAGAGGCCTGGGAGAATTTCGGCGAGTGGCCCACCAGATGCGAAAAAGAGTACAGTAGCGGCTGAGAAACACACACACCCATTTCTTACCTTGAGAGCCCAGAAACTTCACGCCTGGACAGTTGCGCTTCCACGCTCCGCCAGATCAATCCTGCAAAAGAAAAATCGATGTGAACCAAGTGGATGGTGCTTTCCCAGGGATCACCTGCTACCCAGGAAATCGGCCCTTCTAGCTCATCACCCCACGCTCCAAATCGCTCGTGGCAGAAATCACGCCTGCCCGAAAGCCCACGATTTCTGCAACTCACCGTGAAGAAGCAACGCGCGAAGAAGCGCCCTGAGACGCCCGGAGCGCGGCTCCATCTGGGTGTCGCGGCGGGAAGTTTCAGAAACGGCTGCTGGAGCCTGGGAGGAGGAGGAGGTGGAGCGCGCTTGGTCCCCTTTCCCACGGCTAGAGAAGGTCTCCGCGCTCGGGAGCGCGTCCGGCTGCTGGGCGGGGGAAGGCGAGGGGCGGGCCCGCTGCCTGCCTCGCTTTACCTTCTTCCAGGATTTCTCTTCTCCGCTTGAAGGTGAAGGTGACGGCAGCAGCAACCGCCAGACTGGGCGCTTGGGGTCCACACACTAATTAGCATAATTTTGCCTTCTCTAGAAGCCCATCCCGGTCCTATTTGCAGACAGTATGTCTAGCCTTCAAATGGGAACTCATCAACTAAAGAGATTTCTGCTTGAGAAATGTTTGTACAGTTAGAAGAGAAATTTTAAAAAATAACCTTCTCTTAGTTAAGTACAGTAACTGGATTCAATAGAAGCATTGTTTTTCATTCATCTCTGGAAGTGGTATGCCATTGTTTCTTTCCTAGGGCTGAGAGAGAGTGATTGGCCCTAGGTCACCAAATTTGTGCTTAACAAAATCCCAATGAATTGATTTTTCCCCCTCTCACAATAGCAATCCATTGGTGGCTTCATCTTCCTTCACTGGGAGTATTTGAAGATAACCCTGTTGAGAAAATAGCCTGCAAGTGTCTATGATCACAATATTTTGATCAATTAGCTGATCAGATTAGTTTCATCAACACAGCCAGGACCTCTCACTTGTTTTGTGCTTTGAGTCAGTCTAAAAGGCGCTTCCCATCTCCGAATGGGTCAACTCACCACCAGACAACTTGCTGCAGCCAACTTACCATGGACAGCTTGCTGCAGGACAATTCATCAAGTATTTAAAATGTAAAACTTGTTTTAACTTTTGTCATTTACCTTTCATTTTGTCCCTGCTTTCACATCCTTTCTTTAATGATTTTATTCCATCATTTCTTTGATGTTACTGTAACTCTTGTCCTGTTGTAAGTTGGATTTGGCGAGTTGTCCCACAGCAAGTTGGCTACCGCAAGTTGTCCACGGTGAGTTGTCCATTGTCAGTTGTCCAACACCGAATTGTCCATGGTGAATCATCCACAGCGAGTTGTCCATTCCCTGTTGCTTTCTTCACTGCTATACACTATCTTCCAGTGCTTCATCCAGTTGTTCAAAGGGAGAGCAGAATAAGCCCCAGAAAAAAAATATTATTCTGTCAACCTTGTCATTGCATTTGTTTTTTGCAATGGAGAAAAGCCACCCTTGAAGAAACAGGAATAATTGTGGGAATCATGGCAAGGGAGCCCAGAGTTTTCTGGCAGGAGAGAGAGATAGGGAAATCCCAGGAGATAGGTTAAAATGGAAGGACTTATGAATGGGAAAAACCTTCAGCTCTACAAAAATATCACAAAGTTCTGTTTGCACTCCTTCTGCAAGAGCTCAGCCAACCATTAATCATTAATTAGTTGATTAAAATTAATTAGCTCAGCTTCACTAGACCCTGGCACTATGGAAACACAGGGTAGCAATGCCAGGCAGAAGTCTTCATATTTTTTGTACTTTTTAAATACAAAAACAGGTAGGCCAAGCTATATAAATTAGATGTCATCTGCTGAACCATGATTCCTAATAAACCTAATAAAAGAACTAACATCCAATTCAGCCTCCCTCCACTTCTCCAATTCTCTAGTTCTCATTTGTAGCAGGCAAAAAAAAACCTAAGTAGGCAAATAGGGACTATTAACTTCTAATAGTCATCATGCATACCTCTTTATTTAGGCCCACAGATTTTTTTAAAAAAATTTAGCCTTGGCACCATGTGAGTTCTTGTCCCAATTTAGGGTTGAAAGTTAGCCTGGTGATTTTGGGCCAGTCACTCTTTCTCAGCCCAAATCACGTTACAGAGTTGATGCTGTGGGGAGGAAGGAATATTAGGTATGTTCCTATCTTGAGTTATTCATAAAAATGATAAAGGTTGGAAATAAATAAATATATTTCCCATGATATATTTCAGCAATGGAAAACTTCCACTGCAAAGATTTGTAAGAATGTTCATACTATGCATCTGTTCTGAATCTTGTCATTTATTATCTATTCCATTTATTCTGAGCAAACATATTTAGTTTCCCTTGCAATCATTACAACAGGTCCTAATTTTTAAATCACACTCAAAACTTCTCCTTCAAGGAAGTTGCAACTATTAATTATTCATTAAAATGTGTTTAAAACTTAATTGTTTTGGTTGAAAAATTTGAATGTGCTAAACATTCAAAACTATGTTGATATTAGCTTTCACCCATAGCTTGTTTTTTAAAGTATAATCCTGAGAGATTTCAGAACCTTCTTACCCATTTTAAGAAATACTTTGAATCACTTTTTTCTTTCTTGCTATAATTCTATGTGCACTTTTTCTTTTTTTCTTTTTTTTTGCCCTTTTATCGACTTTTTTCTTTTCGCTCTCCTCACTCTGCCATCTGCCATCCTTTCTCTCACCTCATCTCTCATACTTCATCCTTCAACTCTCAAATAAAAGAAGCTTTAAAAGCTGCCAATGTCAGGTGAGAAATTGTCTCAGATAAAAAAGATTTTTTTTAAAGTTACCAGGAAGTCTGTTAACAGTGAGAAATTAAAAAGATCTCATTCCCTCTTTGTAATTAGTCCCCGTATATTATATTTCCAGTTGTAACAAATGGTTCATTTCATTACAAATGATGAAACGGGACTGACATCTTCAGCAATAACTTTATTCTGTTGTCTGTGCCAATGGGAAAATCATAATTAGACGAGACAGCAGTTTTCATTATTTTATTTATTTCCCATCTTTATTACTTTTACGAATAAATCAGGGTGGTGAATATATCCAACACACCTTCCTTCTATTTTTCCCGCAACAACAACCCTGTCAGGTGAGTCAGCTGAGAAAGAATGACTGATCCCAAAGTCACTCAAGTGACCTTCATAGTTAAGGCAGGACTAGAACTCACCATCCCCCACTTTCTACCCTGGTATCATAACCACTGAATCAAACTATTAAACACTTTAGACTGTTTTCACACACTGTAACCCAGTGTTTTTCAACCTTTTTTGTGCAAAGGCACACTTTTTTCATGAAAAAA